CTTGCTCAATAAGCTTGTTTAAAGCTTCCATAACCATGATGAAGAGTAATGGAGACAGCAGGTCGCCTGAGCGCAACCCTCTTGAAGTATTAAAAAATGAGGAAGGACCACCATTGACCATGACAGCAAAACTAGTTGTGGATATGCAAGTTTTAATTCATTTGCATCATTTTAAACCGAAGCCAAAACAATTGAGCATATAGTCAATAAAGTCCCAACTAACATTGTCAAAAGCCTTCTCCATATCCAATTTACACAACAACCCCTTCTTTTATTTCTGTTAAGATCGTCGACCACTTCATTTGTAATCAAAATGACATCAGAAATTTGCCTTCCTTCAACAAAAGCATGTTGACAATCCCCGATGATAGACTTTAGAACCTTAGAGAGCCTTCTAGCCAACACCTTTGAAAACAATTTGTAAACACTGCCCACTAGACTTATTAGTCTAAAATCGGCAAAACAACTAGCCCCTTCTTTCTTAGGGATTAAGACAAGAAATATGGAGTTGACTGATTTAACAAATGAGTCATTCTTGTGAAAATTATTGAAGAAATCAAAAACATCATTTTTCAGCACATACTAGAATTCTTGGAAGAATTTTAGGTTGAAACCGTCAGGTCCAAGTGCTTTGTCACCATCACAATGTTTTAAACAGTCAAAATTTCTTTTTTCGAGAATTCAGATTCTAGAATTGATCTGTCAGCATCGGTTATCTTGTTGAAATGGATGTTGTCGAGTCTCGGTCTTTGTTCAACAAATTCTGTGTATAATGATTTGAAATGGTTTCCTGCAACATCCCTTATGGCCTCATTGCTGCTGACTGGGCGACCGTTCACAGAAAATTCCTCCACATAATTTAATCTTCTTTTATGGTTTGCCAAACAATAAAAGAACTTTGTGTTCTTGTCCCCATCTCTAATCCATTTTTCTCCAGCTTTCTGTTTCCAGGATACTACTTCTATATGAAGTCTGTTAGCAAGTTCCTCACGCATGCTATTCCTTTTCTCATTTTGTTCAAGGAGCAGTTCGGAGTCACTTGGCAGAATAGCAATTTCAGCAAATTTGTTCAACAAGTCATTTGTTCTGCTTTCTTCCTTCAAACCAACTTCCTTGGTCTAAGATTTAATATTCTATTTGAGTCTAATCAGCTTTTTATATAGTCTGAAACTTGCGGTGCCTCTTTCAAACTGATGGTTCCATATTATACTGACCATGGACTTAAAATTGTTCACTAGTAGCCATTTATTGTCAAAACGAAATGGGGTAGGTCCCCATTTGAACCCATCAGAAGCAAGGTATATAGGAAAATGATCAGAATGGGATGAGTGATTGAGGCCCGGAATAGACACAAGAAAGTCAGTGGAGATCAAGAATCTATCAATTTTGGGGAAAGAAGACTTGTCTCTTTGGTTGCCCCATGTCCATTTTCCTCCTTTGAGAGGAATGTCTTCTAACCCAAGACTGTCGATATTATCTTTGAAATTTTGGGTCACAAAAGCAGAGAAATTTTTCCCAATCATTCATCTCGGTGCATGACCATGTTGAAATCACCACCCACCATGCTATGTACTCCTCATCTGACTTGACACTAGAGCAGCTCATTCCATAATTTTTCTCTATCCGATGCATTCCCCCGGCAGCAGATTGCAAAGAATGACCATTTTTCTTGTTGACAAATAAGTAAAAAATAGATATTTCACTTTTATGTAATCAATATATGCTACTGTGTCTGATCTCTAACAAATGAGAATACCTCCAGCAGTGTTGTTGCCAGAAGATAGAGTCAGTCGATATCTTGTAAGCCTCACACACTATTGACTGTAATCTTGTCAATGACTGCCATTTTGGTTTATTGCAGACAAATCAAATCCGATTTTCATCTATTTATGCACCCCTTGATGATATTTCTCTTCTTTAAATCATTTAAACCCCGAATATTCCAAGATATAATTTTGTTAATCATCGACGTTCCTTGGTTTTTGTCCCACTGTTGGATGCTATTTTGTTTCTCCCTTCATAATTGATAGAAAAATGCAGTCTTTTCAATTTGCGGGATCCTCCCTTGATCGGTTTTTTCTTTCCCCGGCTGGTTGTCTCCTCGCCTTTCGTTTTTTCAAGGGTTTTTGTTTCCAACATGGCAAATAATGCTATTGATTGCTCTTTGCAGCCTTCAAAAGTGACCTTAAGAGTTTGCTAACTCTAAGAATATTTCGTTTGACCCATCTTGAATAAAATTTCTCGTCGCAGTGGGTCACAGCTTCTGTCGGCCCCATCATTTCCATGCATGGTTCAACAGACGAGATAGGAAGTAGATAGAACACTGGCTCTGGAATAAGAACCATTTCAAGGCCAGACAACGAAGATGAGGAGATTGGAGAATTCACTTGGTGACTTCTTTTTGCCGCAATCATCCACAGTCTCTTTGGGTAGAATAGTGGACCCGTCGGGTGAAGGATTGTCAACCGTGCTACCTGCAAGACTCGACGACCAAACCAATCAAGTACTTTTGTCCACAGGTTCCATGTTGTTTTACCAATGAATGAACAAGTGGGAATGTGTCTCCCTCCTTTAAAACACATTACATCAATACCTGGAGACAAAACTCTATTAGGCCGACAAACTTGTAGTGACTCATTTGTGTTCAGCGTTTAATGAATATTCATTCATGCAAATACACTTACCTTTGTTGGAATTGGAGCTTTCCAAAAATTGTCAAACATCATGGATGGTTAAAGGTTGGGTGTTTAGTAAAGTGGTCAAAGAAAGACTTATAAGTGAAAGCCCCTAGGATTCCAAATGTCCAAACCTTGGTATCATGAAGTGAGTTGATAGAAACTCGTTCCAACATGTTTAAGAGGCTGAGCACATCAAGAGCCTCCTTTTCAGAGAGATTACGATGTAAGTGAAAATTCCATGCTCCACCTCCTTCTGTATTGGATGTAAAGCTTGAGATAGGATCATTTTATCTAGAAGATAGTTTATACAACCATGGGAATTCATTCAGCAAAGCTTGATCCACGATCTAGATATCTTCCCAGAACTGCAATGTATAAAACCATTTCCTGCTTTCAGGTTGGTTAAGGGAACAAACAATTGGTAAACTTGGGAAATGGCTTTATAAGGGCTTCTATGAGAAATGGACCGACAACCTGCTAAGGCATCCTTCCGTCCCACTACTCCCATCAATGTTGCTGATGACTCTGTGCCACAGAGAAGCGCCAATATTATTTAGCCAATAAAGATATAGTTTTTAATCTAAAATTATACCTAGCCCTTTAAATATTTGGATTAACAACAAGTCTCCTATCCCACTAGGTGGTCTTGATTCTCCTCCACCGCTTCTGCCCATAAAAAGTGATGCATGCACCCCTCAATTCTCTCTGCTACCCCACTAGTATCCTAGACAGAGACAAAAAGGTAGATCGATACGCTAGAGAGACTCGCTTAAATAAATGTTACCCTTCCCCTAGGGAGGACAGCCCCCTTTCAAGCATACCAACCTCTTGACCACTTTATCTACTATTCATTCCCAAAAACTCCTATTTCTATGATTGAACATCTAATGTTACACCAAGATATGCGATAGGTCATGCTAATTTAGTACATTCTATCAAACATGCTAACTATTTAACCGTTCCCTCCTCCAAAATTAATCCTAATGATCCCACTCTTCACTTATTTTATCCTTAATCTTGATATTTGCTCGAACACTTAGGCTTTATTTGGATAAATTTCAGTAATAGTTAATTAATGTATAGTAATGGCAGTAATTGAATGAGAATAATACAGTATTGTAATGAAGAAATTTTTTTACATTTGGATGATAGTATATTAATTATGTTAATGAGATATTTTTGTTTGAATAATAGGATGGTATGATTGTACTTTTAGCTAAATTATTAATTTACCCCTACATATTATATGTAATAGTAAATGGTATAAAAAAAGTATGTAAGAAAAAAAAAAAATTTATCAATATAATTATATTTGTATTGAAATAAATAATTATTATAGATAATCAAATTAAAATTTTATATTTAATAAAATAAATAATAATTATTTATATTATTATATTAATTTAATGAGTTTTTAATTGTCATGACATATATGAAATTAATTAAATTAGATGAGACATAATGGGAAACAAATAGAATGCCCACCAAATACCACCAATTTGATGGTTTAAAAATTCAGTTCAAAATTTGTCAGTCAAATACTATTTGTTACCATTAGAAATTGAAACAAACACGATTTTTTTATGCCGGTAAAATACTATACATTAAAATTTTACCATTTATCATGATTCAAATAGAGGGTTAAAGATGAGTGTAGTGCACTACTGATGCCTTAACAGTGGTGGTTTCAGGCATTGAGAAGATGGAGCAGAGTGATTTTCACACCTTTTCTATTTACATTAGTGGTGGATGTATTGAGTAGGATGTTGAATAGAAGGTTGGAGAGAGCGATCTTGAAAGGCTTTGTCGTAGGGAAGGAGACTAGCAAACATTTTTACTAATAGGCACTTCTAAAGAGCCTCTATTATATACCATATACCAAGTTTGCAAGAGAAATGAATCTTCCTACTGATACAAAAGATTTTGTAGATTGTATCATCATCAATAAGAAGACCAGAAAACAATCAAGCAAAAATGTGAAGGGATGTAAAATTATATAAACCAGCTTACAGGCTATCGGTTACTGCAACATTCAGCATAATGTTTGTTTACATGTTGAGGTTAGTTTACAGAGCAGAGGGGTAGTTCAATCTTTTAATTTACATGCAACGGTAGCACAGCTGTCTTATCAAAATTGTCATACAAATTATGTGTTTAAGAAAACTGTTAGACCAATTTACCAGTTAAACAGCCAAATTTAGTCAAGTAGTGTTTTGCATATTTCCAAAATGTAGTAATATTTTGAGACTACACTAAACTTCAGCCATGTTTTTGTAATTTATCCTTGAACTTCTGATAAAGACAAATTCAAACCTGGCATACCTTCAAGTTTATGACGGCAACTCTATTGGCTGGTGTTGACAGCTGCTGGCTAATGTAGGCCATGGATCTCAACATAGGCTCCAGCGTGACCCTTGTTAGCCTAAATTGCACCTCAGTTTCTCCGAAAGGACTTTTTCCATAATCTTGCAGCTAGAGCAGAGGCATAGAGAAAAAAGGAAAATTAGAAAATCAAAAGTAGTAAGTTCTGGTTAAACTAGTCAACAAGCGTTTTTTTTTAATGTAACAATAAAAAATGTATTAAAAAATTGAAGTACCAAGGGAGTACCACCCATTTACAAAATATGTCAACCATATAGCCAAAATCCTCCGTCCTATGTAAAGCAATAAGCTTTAATTTATTTTAAGTACAAAAAAGCAGTAAAAAGGTTTGGGAAAAAAGTAATTTATTTGAACAAACTACAGTGGAAGAATTTTAGCATTAGAAAATTTTATTACAATTGCAATGTAAATATTTGTGTGTTGTTACAATCACTTGGATAATCTAGGAAGATGTGGAATTTATGAGTTTCAATTTATTTCATATTATGATAGTGATGTGGGCCAGAGTTGGAACCAAGCTCAACCAGAACCTTTCATCAGGGTTTTGTTATTTAAGAAGCTCCTCAATTAGGAGATTGACATTTCCTCATAAGCAAGAACAATTGGGAATGGTTGAGTAAATCTCCGGTAGAAATCTCTAAATTTCCATAGATCATTGGTTGGCCAATCAATATTTCCTTCAGTAAATGCATGGCCATATGAAGTTTGAATCATGGGGTCTCCTATAATTTCGTTAACGTTCCCATAAATTGAGGCTATGTGTCAGCCTGTCAAAGGCTTCTTAGGTTAAATGCGAAGATATTCAAACATATGTTTGGAATATAATTTCTTCTCAGTGATCGGTAATTATCTTGTGCGTTTTTATCTATCAACCCTGTTGTAATTAACTAAGAAAATTTTGTACTCTCTTTTATTTTTTTTAAAAGAACTGAGAGAAATTTGTTGTTGGAAGAATTCTGACCTCTTCAGAGACTGAAATCAATCCCCCAAAAATTACTTGTATTAGAATTGCAACTCAAATTTTCAGATTGCAGCAGAACAAGAGAAGATTTTAGATGTCTTTGTTATTGCAGCTTCAGTGACGGTCTTGGATTCTTAGTTGGAGGATGAATCTTTCCAGCACGATGACGGTTCATCTGGAAAGAAGTGCAACCCTATCCAGAGGAATTTGGGGTCTCGAATTATGAAAGTTTCAACTGATGAAGGATGAAGTTAAAATATTTCTATAGGTGGTGATATTTGTTCTGATTAAATCTGTCCTACTGCATCACAAGGCAGTCCCATAACTAGTGCTTTCTGCTTTGTGGTTGAGATCTAGAAGAAAAAAGAGGTGGAGAATTCAATAGAGATTTCCTTTGGCCAGGATCTTCAAACAAGCAAATTATTCATTTTATCAGTTTGGAAATTTATTTTTGCCGAAAAGAGAGAGATGGTCTTGGCTGGGCAATTTAGAGAAAAGAAAAAAGAAATTGCTTTTAAAATGGGCATGCAGGTCTGAACTGTAGGTATATGGAACAGGCCAGAAGATCCGATGGGTGTCCATGAGGGTTTTACCCACATCCAGATCCAAGAAAGAAATCACCAGCCACAGGAACTTACAAGCTACTATCCTATATAAGGGAGTGGTTTTGGATGGGTAAAGATTCATGTTCGCCATTTTGTTCAAAATTCATGAAAAACTAAATAAAATCTCTCATTTTTTCTCCCAAGCAATAATTCTCAGGTGGAGAAAAGAATATCAGTTGAATGGCTGAGGACGATCAGTATAACAACACAAAGATCCTGCAATCTTTCTTGGAGAATGCAACTGCCAGATTTTTTAGGGGAATCTGGAAGCATTTAAAGAATTTATATCTGCTGCTTATGGTGAAATGAGTAATTTGTGCTGTTTAATCTTTTATAAGAACAGAAGACCATTGTGGCAAAATATGGTATGAGAATTGTCATCTGGTTCTCCCTAACCATATCCCCTTAATTTACAACAGGAATTTGGAGGAATATCTTCTATGCCCCGAAATCCCTAAAAATCCCTTCTCACAGTAAATCAGAATTGCAGTTGGCAATGGAATAAGCACCTATTTTCGGGTTAGATATGTGAATAACTGATCAATGCCTGAAAGATGCTTTTCCTAGTATATATGCTTTAGTGGGTAAGGAAAAGGGGAAAAATGGATAAATTTGGTTCTCAATATGGCATCTCTAGGACATTGAAATTCATTCCTATAGAGTATGAACTTTTTCTGACTAGGAGTTAGCTTGGTGGCATCAGTTCCTCTCTACATTAAATTTCTATAGTTTATGCATGTAGCACTGACATGATAGGCTTATTTGGAGATGATAGGAATTTCCTGTGCAAGAGCTGCTTCTAAAGATTTTCAGTCGCAGCTAAACTATTTTAATACCCATTACAACTTCTGCCAGGATGTGTCTGGCTCCTCTTAACGTGGAGGTCTTTTGACAACAGGACTTCAAGGAGAGGTGGTTGTGAAGTCTACTACAGTCATGGTTAGATTAGAAAATTTCTTGATCTTGATGGATTCACTTGTGTCCTGTATACGAAGCACGACGAAGATATAGATCATTTATGCTCATTTTTCCACTGTGGATTTAGATGCATAGATTGAACAAATGAGCAATTTCTTCATTCCCCCTAGTAATTTGTAGATTCATTATCATCTCTTTATTGCTGCAATTTAGTTTCCAACAAGGTATTGCTAAGGTCTTTGTCACAGCAATTTAGCTATTTAGATTGCAGGAAATCAAGTAAATAATATTAAAGGGTATAAGGGTAAATCACATCTTTTGTAAATAACTGTCATTAAATTGCCTATTTCTTTTTCCCATCCTGGAAAACTTATATATATAGGAGTATAATATATCAATGAAACACAATTATTTCAAAAAAAAATATTTAATAGAATATACATCAAACAATTACTAATAGTTATTGTCCATATTGACAGTCCCTGTGAGGTACAAAGGATTTTTTTTTGATGGGAAGAAGAAAATATTACATTAAGGTCCCTATTGACATTCTTAATATAGTTTGTCCGTATTGACCTTAGCAATACCTTAATATACAAAATACTATATTAAGGTATTGTAAGGTGTCTTTCACATTTGTCCTTATTGACAGTCCTTAGATATCAAGATGG